CTTTTACCCATATTGCACGAGCGTTTTACAACAACCTCACACGTTTCAATTCAACAGAGTCCCGTGTTAGAACTTAACAACAGTTGCTTCTCGATGTTGCTGTCCGTAAGACGAGCAAGTGAAGGAGAGGGTAGGGCTTTTGGGAAGTCAGTCTTGAAAGCTACAAATACTTCGTTCTGAAGGTTGGATTTGTTGTTCCGTTTGAAGGTGGGGGACAAAAGAAGAAATAAAGGTGTGTTTTTTTTGTATCTTTTAAGTGAATAATGTTCGGAATACAAGCGTGAGTCCGATATCTGGCAATCTGTGATCTTGTTGTAATTGGAGGTCTCGTAATTGAAGTTCAAAAATGGCTGTAGTCGGAATAAGATTTCTGGGTGTATGAGGATACGTGGAACCAAAGAAAGTAGCTGAGCTTGAAACAACCCTCTTTCTTTGTCTTTTCCTACTACTAAAAGTTTTGCTTTTTGTACTGCAGTTTTGGGCACTCAAAAAAGTATCAATGCCCACCAGCTTTCCTGCACCCGAAACTGTTAGCAAGCGAGGACCACACAAAATAATCCATAAGATTAGTAGCCAAAAAGTTAAAGGGATCCTGCACTTCGTAAAGATATTGTTTTTGTACTTTCATACTTTCCCTGTTAGATATAAAATAAAAATCACTTCACTGAACGAAAAAAGGAACGCCGTTACTTTTTCCGTTCCAGTAAAAATGTAACGCGTTCCAGTTCCAGCGATGCAAAATGGAATGGCGGCGTTCCTTCGTTCCTCCTAAAAGGAACGCGTTCCAGGAACGCCGTTCCTTGGAACGCCGTTCCGTACAACGCTGATAGAAAGGAAGTTGACGTCCCGTGACCGGATGTCGAGTGACTTATGCACTAATTCGGTCTTCACGCTAAATTGTTTCGGGGAAACTCACTCCGCGGGACCTAAACACCAATTCCCTTACCCCGCTATATTTGACATGGTAATTAATGTCACGTTACCTGGCGTCACGCGACATCAAATTGAATCGGTGTCTATTTGACGAGACGTCAGATCACGTGAAAGATCTACCAAAATAATTTCGTCCACAAAATTTGAAGCGAAACTTTACGTGATCTGAGCTCACGTCACGTGACTCATACACGAGTTCAGTTTTTCCCGCTAAATTTAGCGGAGAAATATATTTTCTTCACTACCGAAAACGTCTGTCTAATATCTTGTAAAGAAATCTAAACGACCCCCCCCCCCCTTTTTTTTTCTAAAATGGTGCATTTCATGCATTATATAACTTAGTAGATACAAGCAGCTCCCAATTTTCTTGCTTCGTTTACTTTTCATTTGTTGTATTACGATGCCAGTACAAGAGAGGTACTGCTCGTGGAAAGAGCGTCCATGAGCAGTTCAGCAACTGAATTGATCTGATAACGTTCGTTGGTGCGTTGTGATCTGCCCCCTTCAGGGCGATTCACAGACTTCGTTGAGTTCGACCAATGTTATTAGGACAGCTCAGTTGGGAAACTCTCATAGAGCCTACTCTGAAAACGTGGCACCAATCTGTACTCGAGAACCGAACTAATGGCGAGCGCAGCGCCGCCATTTCTCCCGCAGCGGCAACACATGGAACAGCGCGGCTGCTCGTATTCGTTCGCGAGAGGTCCGGTGGCGCCATCTCGCAGTAGTCAAAGTATCACATTCGGTAGCGTCCGCTGTTACGTCGTTCGGTCGGGACGCGCTACCTGAGGCCACCGGTAAGATATGGCTGTATGAAAACAACAGTTTTGTGCTTGAAAACCCTCCAAACTAAACTTTTATGCAAATATCTCGCTACTGTCATTTTGTACTAATCTCCAATAAACTTTCCTACAAAAAGGGCTTTTTTCCATTTGTTTTTAAGCAAATACTTTCTTTCTAAAAGCTCTTAGTGACCAGAGCAAAGAAAAAAAGAGTGAGCCGCCATGTTGGCACCTCGAGCCTGGGGGTGACGGTACTGTGGGAACATTCAGTGAATCTGGCAGTATCCATTTAAAGCAACTTCCATGTTTCAACTCGGCGCTAAAGGATGGCGCTGTTAAAGGGATACTGAACCAAAGAATATAGTGCCCATAATAAGTGGCGCACGTTCTTTCCACCAGCCAGCAGCCGCCGGTGTGCGCGAGCACACGGAACAAAAATGACGTCACAGACCTCCATTCGCGGTTGAGATGACAGTGAAATGCATGGGCTTCGGACTAAAGGAGAATAAAGACAGGCTTTTCATCTCTACAGGTGAAAGCTACGTGCTTGTTAGACCAGTTCATCGCTTACTTTTTACACCAGGCACCACTGTGTAGATGAAAAACTTGTCTTTATTCTCCTTTGGTCCGAAGCCCATACATTTCACTGCCATCTCAACCACGAATGGAGGTCTGTGACGTCATTTTTGTTGCGTGTGCTCGCGCACACCGGCGGCTGCTGGCACGTGGAAAGAACGTGCGCCACTTATTATGGACACCAAATTCCTTGGTTCAGTATCCCTTTAAGGCCCGTTCACACTCTTGCGACCTCTTAAACCTAGGTTCCTTACAACTTCTTAAACCAGAAAACACACTGGCGCCCTCTATTGGGAAGCACTGTAAACTCGGCGGTCCGGCATATTTTTTTTTATTTCTCGCGCATTATCCTTTTTTTTCTTGGCTCGAAAAACTTTTGTCAATGTTATAAACGAGCCTTTCTATGGGTATTACGCACATTTGACCTCGGAAATCCCGCAAAACCTTCGCTCTTGTGAAATGCAGTTCCAGGGTGACCGCATAGATGGCGCCACAATGCCAGTTTGTTCCCTCATTTTAAAAAACATTTAACAAGTTTTAAGAGAACTCGTCTCTCTCAGTCGTACTCGGTCGCACTCGGTCGCAAGAGTGCGAACGGGCCTTTATTGTATTTAGCTCGGTCTTGGTGGACACCAGCAGTCTATGTTTCAAGAGTGAGTTTCCCAACTGAGTGTTTTAATAACATTGAGATCGACTGAGTGCGAGGATCGCTATGGCAACAGTGGCGTCGGTTCTAACAAAACCGGTTTTAACCCCGTTTTTTTGCACGATTACGGGGCGTGCGGATGGTGGTTAGAGGCCAATTGTGCAGCCTCATTCATAGTTTTCACCGTGGAAGAAGGAGCCACAACTTACCGACTCTCTTTGCATGCACTGTTGAAGTTAGAGATGGCGTCGTGCTATTAGAATCGAAGAAGTAATTGAACACCCCAGATGGCTCGTGGATTGCGTGCTGTGGGCTACGTTGGCTTTGTATACTGTCACGGTGAGCGTATAACACTTTTCGATAAGCTCGAGCGTGACGCATCTCAAATGAAATCCAGCCCTCAAGCACGTTTTGCGTTTAAGTGTTAGTACACAGCTAACTTAGCTATGAAGGCCAGTGAATGTCCTTCTCAATGCAAAACTTAGCCTCTACACTCAATACATAGAGTTCAAAGTTGTAGGAAGTCTATGCATGTACGGATAATTCAATATGGCGCATGAAAGATACTGGCATACCAATGAACACCCAGACATACAGAGCAGCAAGAATGAACAAGAGAAAGAATTAATATACGCTTTAAAGGGCCCCTGAAAAGAAAAAAAAAGTTTTTTTTAAACAGTCTGGTTGGAACACGCGTGTCAAAAAATGAATTTTACGCGAAAAAAAAATTTTTTTAGAGCAATATTGACGGCGAGAGATTTATTTGAAGTTTTGCGCGCAAATTCCATGGTCATTCAGCTCGGCTTCTCATTGGTAGCGATGGTCATTCAACTCAGCTTCTCATTGGCCAATAGAATGAGTGACAGCTTAGATGTTGGTTTTAAAATCTTCGTGATTTTTTTAAATCGCCTTTTGAATTACATATTTTTAGGTGTAAGAAACAATCCATCGAATGAATGTCGCAATTGTTTACAAACGTTTTACAAAATCGTAACTTCCGTTCGGATACCACAACAAAACAACAAACAAAAGCTTCGCCATTTTGTTTTCTGTCGTGGTCGCCGTCTTCGCGTTTCGCGTTCTGAAGAGGGCTTGTTGCTTGTGTTAGTTAGTCAGTCATAGTAAGTACTTAGGAAGTGGCGCGGGGTGACAGGTTTCTGTTTTTCTGCTCTTCTTTGCGCGATTCGTGTGTCCCGTTTACCTCATCTTTTGTTTGTTTTCTGGCGCGCGCCAGTGCCAATGTTTGTTTAGATGTCGGTTCCCGTAAAGAGTTTAGTGAGGCACGCGGCACCGCACTCAACGTTTAATAAAAAAAAAAAAAATCAGTTACCACTGCGTGTCCTCGCGGCGGCTTGAAGGATCGTGCGGCTCGAACGAACTCGTCGAGGCACCCGCTTCGCCGCGGCGAAGCGGGTGCCTCGCGGCGATCGGAGCGGACGCCTTCCGGCTGGCGAGGCGTGTCCTCGTACGGACGAAGGCCCAGCTGCTGGCAGCGTTGAAGCAACCGACGCTTCAGGTCGGGGTCCACCGCGACGACTATGTACTGTGTGTACGACCACGGTGACCACGGTACGTGCACGATACGACGCGGTATGTTGTTCGACCGGCAGACAGCCGGCCAGGGGCTGTGTTCCAAATCTCCAAATGCGTCCGAGTTTCTCCGGCGGATCGTATCACGTGACAGCACAGATTGAAAAACGCTGTACGCGGGTAGGTTTTAGAACGCCAAGAGTACAAAACCCTCACCCTGGGGTAAGATCGAGTCAATTTTGGAACACGGCCAGGAAGTAGCAATGGCTCTCGTGCGGGGCGCAGCCAAGCCAGGAAAGCAGCCAAGCCGATCCACTACGAAGAGGCGGGGACTACCTCTCCTCCACGCGCCCGAGATGCCGAGAGAGAGAAAAGTGGAAAGGAGGTGACTGCCGACTAAATTGCGTCTGGCGCAGTCAATATTGCTCTAAAAAAATTTTTTTTTCGCGTAAAACTCATTTTTCGACACGCGTGTCTCAACCAGACTGTTTTTGAAAAACTTTTTTCTTCTTTTCAGGGGCCCTTTAAGAGTCTTAATTCCAAAGCAAAAAGCTATTTATTCCGTATCCAGTTTGAAGTTATCGTTCACAGAACGTAAAAATCACACGGCCCTTTCATACCGTATCAATAACCCTAAAAGCCGGATGTTTTGTATATAGAAGGCAACAAACACAAATGATAGAAGCCGCAAACAATATGTGAAATCGCGCCTTAGTAAGATCACATTGCGATATCTGTTTTGTACACATCAAGCAACTTGCGGAACCGTTATAAAACGCAAGGGAAAAATCCACAACAGGACATTCTTTTTTAAATGGCGCAACTCAAGTGCTGAAAATTGGTCGATCACAACAAAAAATGAAAACATTAACAACAGGTGTACACAAAAAATCCACAAATTGTACAACAGTCAGAAGTGGACTCAGCATGCATAGGCGTATAATGAAATGCTAAGCAGATATTCACCCTTTTAGTGTTTACAAACATGAACTGCAGCTTTCGTCACAAATGACTTCCGGTCGCACCATCTTTGCAAGCACGTCCAGCTTGCTTATGTTACAATGCTAGAAAGCATACCTGCTTCACGAACAACGAAGTGGGAGATTTCGCGAGGGCCTTCGGCTGTACGATTTACCGTCTTGGAGGAGACGAGTAGGTTCACAAGGATATCTGAAGATGTTAAACAGATGTCACAGCTTCTTGGATCTTTAGGCGTTCACCTGGACAATGGGTGGTTAAATGTTACAGTGACGTTTCAAGCAGTGGTTTTAAGATGGGCCCTGTTCATTCTCGTCAATCTGCCTGGTGTCGTTTGCAAACAAAAGGGTCTACAGACACAGCGCTGACTTTGCGATAAATCAGTGTTCCTTCAGCAAATTCTATACCCGATAACACATCTTTTGTTTACCGCAGTTCGCGCAAATACTCGACACTCCTGTCGCGTCGTGAAGAAGACCCGAATTCCTTAACTCCGCGAAATGCAACTCCGGCTTCATGGGCCAAAGCGTGAAAGGACGACTTTGTATCAGCTAATAGTTCTGCCGGACTACCAACTTCAACAATACGGCCTTGGTCCATGACAACAACACGGTCTGACGTCAGAACGGTGTGAATTCGATGAGCTATGGTTAAGACAGTACACCCACTCATCACATCTCTCAACGTCCGCTGAACAAGAAGGTCTGTCTCCACGTCCACTGACGCAGTGGCTTCGTCAAGGACAAGTATCTTCGTCTTCCTCAACAGAGCCCTTGCAAGACAGACCAGCTGCCTCTGTCCCACACTAAGGTTGAGCCCACCTTCTGATACTTCAAAGTCCAGACCCTCACATTGTCTGAAGAAATTGCCAAGGTGAGATTGGTCCAGTGCCCACCAGAGCTCAACAGCATCGTGATGACCGGCCGGATCTAGGTTGAACCGTAGAGTGCCATGAAATAGAACTGGGTCCTGTGCTGTAATAGTTATCCTTGAACGGAGGTCCTGTAGCCCTAAATCAGCAATGTCCACGTCATCCACAACAATCTTGCCTGAAGCCGCCTCAACAATGCGGAAAAGGCTAAGAGTTATTGTCGATTTACCTGAACCCGTTCTACCTACGATTCCCACTTTCTCACCAGGGCGTACGTCTAGATTGACGTCCCTGAGGACCAAGCCCAACCCTTCCCGGTATCGAGTCGAGTAAGATCTGAAGGACACTGCTCCTAACCCTGGCCACTGTGGGTCCGGTCTGAAATTCGATATCCATGGCCGCTCGGGGATCAAACGTCTGTACTCATCCACACGCTCGGCAGATACCATAGTTGCTTCTGTTTCGAAGGAAAAAAAAGAAAGTGGGTAAACGAAGAAAGAGCTGTCATCATGTAGGACGCCCGAAGGCCTGCTGTTCCCGTGCCGATCCTATCGCGACTGGTAACAAGTAACAACAGCATAAAGAACACTGCCAGTCCGCTGACCAGCTCTACACGTACGCTCGCCCAGGATGCAACGTATTGCGCGTTCATGGTACACATCTGCATGATGTCAATCTTATCGCCGTTGTCTCGTAGGAAAATGTCTTGAACACCATGGCTCCTGACGCTGCTCAGACCAGCAACTGTCTCGGAAAGCTGATTGTTGATTGGAGAACGGGTTACTATCTCCAGTCTTCTCACTGGACCAAATAGGACCACGGCCTTTTGACGCAGAACCAGCAAGCAAATGACAACAGGGACAATAATCAAAATGCAGATGGGTATGTATATGCAAATGAGCAACATTGATATTGCAAAATGAAACAATACATCAGCGTAAAATGCGCCATCAGCGGAAGATGGACATCAAGCTGGTCAATGTCTTTGCCAAAGCGGTTCAGTAACCGCCCACAAGGAGTGACATCAAAAAATTGCAAAGGCGCTCTCATCACACTGTCGAGCATCAACTGGTGCAAAGTTGTGGAGGCTGAGAGTGCTACCTTCCATAGTATTATGACAGCAAGGAACTTAGAAGCCGCCTCAAAAATGAAAAGGCAAGTGTAAACTTTGATTCTGTACATAGGCAGAGATCGGTTCTGATTTTCGTTGAAGGACAGTGAATCGTTGGTCCATTTGCTCAGCCAGATACCAACAAACACACCTATTCCTGTGTAAACAGCGTAGCATGAAATAGCAAATAGCAGCAGAGGCCCAGCGTGTCTTATGTAGCCTAAATATACCTGCAGACCAACCGAACCTTCTTTCATTGCCTCCTCCTCTACAAGCCTAATCTTCCGCTTCCCTTCCCCAAGTTCTGATTTCACCAAATTTTTAAACGTGTCTTCATTTTCTGACAGTTTCTGAACTCTCTTTGAAACGTTCTTTATAAATTCCGAAAGAGCAGTTCCTTCTTTCTTGAGTTCCTCAAACGTTCCGGTCTCAATTACCGATCCATCCTGCATGACGACAATGTAATCGACTTCAGGAAGTACTGCAATGTGAGGGGTGACCAGGATCCTTGTGGCGTCTTTAAGCATTCCTTGTGGCCCAATAAGATTCTTAAAGAGGCAAGCCCCCACGTGAACATCCACTGCACTCAGCGGATCGTCTAACAGGTACAAATCTTTCATCCGGTAGGCTGCTCTTGCTAGACTCACCCTTTGCTTTTGACAACCGCTTAGGTTGATCCCTTTCTCGCCGATTTCAGTCAGGTCTCCACCTGGAAGGATCTCTAAGTCTCTCTCGAGGCAACACGCCTTCAGTACTTTCTCGTACAATTTTGTGTCGTAAGTACTCGTAAAGATCACATTTTCTCGTATGGTCTTGTTCTGGATCCATGGACATTGAGGAGCATACGCCACATATTCGATGCAATTCACAGATCCTGAGAAAACTTGAAGCTGTCCCAAGAATGCAGAGAGCAGTGACGACTTTCCAGAGCCTACGGGGCCAACTATAGCGATCAGTTGACCGGTCTTGACAGCCAAGTTAATATCCCTCAAAGTCGGGGTTTTCCTTTTCAGCTAGCTAAGCGTCGCATTCTTCACTGATACCACATCACCTTCATCAAGACTTCGGCCCACTGATCGGTTCTCTGCTTCGGGTGATAATAGAAACTGTCGAATTCTCGCCATTGAAACACTCGCCTGAATCACGTCAGAAATAAAGTCTGGAATTAGAAGCATAGGGTACTGCAAATAATTAAATAACGTCAATGACAGAAACGCAGTCTTCGCGTCGAGAATGTGGTTGTCGCTGATCAACACGTACGTCACAAGACTCACCAGGGCGACCATAGATGACAAACAAGTAAAAATGAAGCGAATAAAGGCAGACAGAAAGGAATATTTTTTTAGCAGGACCATTTCCTCTAATCTCAAGGATCTGCACCTGTCGATGAAAAAATTTTCCCACGAGAACAGTTTGATCACTTTAACGCTGTTCAACATTTCTGCTACTGTATTGAGCCTCTTGTCTTTCAACTTCATCTGACTTGTCTGGTACTTCCTTCTGATTTCTAGCGTTCGGGCCACAATGGGCATAATAATTAGCATAACAGCGATTCCAGCAATGCAAGCCAGTCCAAGGTATTGCCAGAGAAGAAGTAACGTGATCATGATCAGCGGCACTGAGGTGGCCACGTGAGCAAAACTGGAACAAAGTTTATAGGTCCAATCGACATCAACAGAAATTAAGTTGACCATCTCTCCGAGTGTGTAGTTTGACTGAGATTCACAGGAAAGCCGAAGCGTCTTTCTATAAATGGCTGTCACCAAAACACTCTTTGCATTTAGACCTGTCAGACTGAGTGTCCTGTCTATATGGTTCGAAAGCAGGGCCGACCCAAAATTTGCGCTCATAATTCCGATGGCATACAAGAATCCCTTCCATGTAGGATCGTCTCCGCTCATGTAGTCCATCAAAAGATGTAATAAAAGGGCAGGGACGTTCACCATAACTGCTCGTAGTGTGGCAAGGGTGCATGAAACAACCACTGGCTTCCAGTACGCTCTCCACATTGACTTGAAGATTGAAGGCCGGAGTCTAGTCACGCGATATAATACGTCTTCCGGTACGTATCCAGATGAATTCAGTTCCGTCTTCCACTGCAAAGCCCACTTACGATAGCTCTTTTTAGTCATCATGCCCTGTGGTAAGCTGTAAAGATCCTCAAGCTGAACGCGGCTTTGTTGCCCTTTAAGTATGAGTGGTGTGAACCATCCGAAAAGAAGAAACGATACAGGTGGTGCGGTAGCGTAGGGTCTTTTCGTATCTCGTCCGGCGTCCGTCCAACAGGGCAGAATAAACTGCAAGAACATCATTGGATAAGCTGAAGCCCACACGGCGAATTCCAGGTTTAAAAAGTGGATTGAGTTTCTATCCGACGCGAAGATTCCCCACATGTGGCGGAAGGACTCGGGGAGTTTGAAGATGACGGTCACGAACCAAAAAACAAAGAGCAACATAGATGATCCAATTCCATTCTTTCTATGGTTCTCCTGAATTTTCATGGTGATGGCGAATGAGATGGCATGCACTAGGTCTGCTATCACTGAGGATCCAGATGACCCTCCGGCGACCAGTTTGTTCATGAGTGCAAAAGAGTAAGTAAGCGTTAACAGAAGACTTGCGACGAGTCTCGACATACTTAACGGGGTCCTAGAGAATGGTCCATGATGAAGAGATTGCTTCTTCTATCGTCCTACAAGCAGAGGGACGCCACCAAATAGCACGAGCAGAGTGGCCGGCATGTAGGTGAGGACTGCATTCTCAAAGCATGATGTCAGCCTTGGGTAGTCTGAGCGCCACGTGTACTGCCAATCCCACAAGGGCGAAGTGCAGAAACGTGTCATTACTCTGTCGTTTGATTCACAACAGCTGAGGACGATTCCACTAGTAACACAGTCCACACGTGGCTTAGCGAAATGACTGTTGTGAAATTACTGCGCTAGCGACGACTTCGGCGGCTTGAAAAATGTGCGCGGAAATAGCGCCCCCAATAAAATCCAGCTGGGGTAAAGAGTCTGTTATATGCCAAAAAATATGTTCGGTTTTACCACATGATCATCATCAGAAGCGTGCAGCTGCGGCAATTGCGAACAAAATCTTTTTTTTTTTTAAGTCTAGACTTGGGTATCTTGTTCTTTTGTTCAAGTTCTCTCACCCTCCTACGATTACAAGAATCAACGGCGTTCTCCAGAGACCTAAAACCTCGGGATATATAAGCCGCAAAATCAACAAATATTTTCGCTTCAAATTTGAAACAGCATCGGATCAAACCCTGAAAATCTGTAACTATGCAGCAGCGAAGGCCAATTCAGATGGGGAAACACGCCAATCCGCACAAACACCGAACATTTGTCCGCAGGTGTGCGTACACGTAGACATAGGAACGTGCTGTTGTGAGTGTTTTTTTGTTCCGTTCAAAATGGGGTCGCTAGTTTGCTTCTACAACTGCACATTGTCACTGCGGTGTTGCTAGGGCTACGCCATAACTTAGCGTCTTCCTGTAATCTCTCTTCATATAATAATGAAAATAAGGAGCGTGTGCGGCTGCAACGGCTTACGACGTCCGGGTTGCTATGGCAACATCTGCGTCGGCTCCAACAAAATGGTGCAAAAACCGGTTTTGTTGGTGTCGACGCAGCTGTCGCCACAGCAACCCGCACGTCGCAAGTCGTAGCAGTGGCACTCGGTCGTACTCGACGCTAGTGTGTGAATCGCCCGTGATGATGTCACTTCATATTAATGGGCCCGGTGTGTTGATTCAAGTTCCGGCAGTAAAAAGGATTCGTCCCATAACCCTCTTCCATAAATCTCTTCCATTAAATAGACCCCATATGTGACGTCACCGTATCACGTGGGGTCACGCGGAGCAGTGCTCACGATTGCGCTGAGAGATTCAATACCTCCTTGGAAGATTCAAACCAAGGAGGACCGATCATTCGAACCACAAACACCAAGGAAAAAGAGGACTTTTTACGGAGAATCTTAAATGGCCTTCCTTAAGCGGAAAATTATGGTAGTACCGGTACATTCATTTATGATACCTTATTTGTGCTTTTAACAAAACGCAGACGCTTCAATTGCAAAAAGCTTCGTGTTTCGCTTTGATAATCAGATCTGATAAGTTCTCCATCGTTCGGGACGGGAGCCTTTCATACTTTAACCTGCAGATAAGAGACACGGTACACCCATGCCTCTGTTTGAAGCCAAACCTGACAAATCCTTACTCTTTCATTGTTGTCCACGTTGAAGTTGAGATTGCCTCCCAAGTCACTACCTATAGTGCGGAGCAGCACGATGGTTGCTCTCGCAGTGGACTCGTCGAGGCGCTCCCATGTTTAATGTTCCACCTCCAGTTTCTTCCGGTTCTCACCGAAAAACATCGATAAAAGCTTGCCGAATATTTGTTTACCACAAATAGGCAGCAATAGCAACCGAAAGATACATCCATCATTAGGCGTGTATTAGCGTCGCACTCCTAATGCCTTACATGGCGTGTAACAACTATTGCCTTTAAGCTGCAGTCAGACTGCTCTCACATCATACAAGAGACATGGTGTTTGCAGCAGACATGATGGCAGAATCGTCTGCGTAACACGCCTCACACATCCCG